CTTTTCAGCGCTCCAAACGCTATTTTAAGGCATAGAAAACACCAAAGTTGTCCATTTCGCACCTTCACGTTTACAAACATATTGCTGCTTCACAATGTCTTCTAGTATGATAAATATGAAGGCAAACAGTGTTTGAAGTCACGTTGTGTGAAAGAATTCACAGGAGACAATGAATCACAGAAGTGGCCGTTTCCGCTCTCCAAACGCTGGTTTAAGGCATAAAAAACAGCAAAGTTGTTCATTTCGCACCTTCACGTTTACAAACATATTTCTGATTCACAATGTCTTCTCCTATGATAAATATGACGGCAAACAGTGTTTGAAGTCACGTTGTGTTAAGGAATTCACGGGAGACAGTGAATTACAAAAGTGGCCTTTTCAGCTTTTCAGTGCTCCAAACACTGTTTTTAGGCATAAAAAACAGCAAAGTTATGCTTTTTGCACCTTAATGTTTACAAACATATTTCTGCTTCAGGATGTCTTCTAGTATGATAAATTTGAAGGCAAGCAGTGTTTGAAGCCACTTTTTGTGAAGGAATTCACAGGAGACAGTGAATTACACAAGTGGCCATTTCAGCGCACCAAGCGCTGTTTTAAGGCGTTTCACAATGTATCATTTAGAAGCTTTTATCTACTCACCTACTGTAAACGTAGTGGCCACGAGTATATGGAGGACGTGAAGCTAACGTTGCACTGCGTTTCTGCTGCATAAACGTAGTGCAAACGCATCAAATTCGCAGTTTATTACATGGCTACGATACAGGAAAAACAACACTTAATAAGACAACTTTAACGGGAAATTCCTCAAATTTGTACGACAAGCTTTTGTGCTCACGTCTGTCTCCTTCGACGCAATGTATGATGGTCCATTTTGCTCAGTTGTCTTGTGGTCTGATGAAGCTGAACTGTTTCGCCTTAATGACCATCGTTACATTTGGACAAAAAAGGGGGAAGTTTGTAAGTCTGAGAACACCATCTCAACTGTGGAGTAAGGGGGTGGCAGCATCATGTTATGGGGGTGTTTTGCTGCAGGAGGGTCTGGTGCACTTCACAAAAGAGATGGCATGAGGACAGAACATTATGATGAAATATTGTAGCAACATCTCAAGACATCAGCCAGGAAGTTAAAGCTTGGGCACAAATGGGTCTTCAAATGGACAATGACCCTAAGCCAGGGGTGTCCAAATTTTTTGCAACGAGGGCCAGATTTGGTGTGGGGGCCGACCATTCAGCCTGACATTAAATACAAATGAACTATTTTATGAAATTTTTATAGCAAATGGCATACTTAATTTTTTTTTTTTCATTTTTCATTTTTTTTAAACCTAAATCACTCTGCCTTTCATATTTGAAGACCACATAAAATGAAGAAAAAGTCTCTCTGGAAAAAAAAACACTTTTGGGAAGAGTAAACATATCCAAGTTCATTTGAAACATTACATATTATTCACTTTTAAATGCTCACTGTAAACTTCTAAATTCAAAACAATGGCCAGTGCATATTCAAAACTGTGGTTTTGATCATCAGAAAAAAATCAATTCACTGAGATTTTAGAACTTATTTACCTCAGAGAACTAAACAAATAACTTGCCTGCACTAATGTGAAGGGTGATACTGAGATTTTGACTGCAGTACGTATTCCAGGTCTGGCTCAAAAACAGTTGTTTTGATGTGCAAGACGTCACGCAGGTGAGCGTCACTTAGTCTCGTCCTCACACGGCTCTTGTTAATGTTCATAACTGAGAATGTCTTCTCACATAAATACGTCGAGCTAAACAAGCTCAGCACTTTCTTAGCAAATGTTCGAATCTCATGGAACCTGCCTTCATCCAGCTGGCAGTATAAGTTGACAAGAGGGAGCTGTTGGTGTCGACTGCAACACTTGGCGTCACACTGCAGCTCAATGAGCTCCAGCTGCAGGTGGTCTGGAGCATCATCAGGGTCCACAGAGAAAGGCGAGGAAAAAAGCATGATCTCCTTTTCAATCGCTGCAAAATCCCGAAAGCGCTGCTGAAACTCCTCAACCAGAGATGAGATGTCTGCTGCATATCTTCTCATTTGCGCACTGATATGTTTCTGTTCGAAGCCTGTCATAAATTCCTGCAGCGATGGGAAATGTGTCGTATTAGGCTGCGCTTGTGACAGGTGCCTTTGGAAAAGTAGCACCTTGCTCTGAAAGGCTTTGATGTGTGAATAGAGTTGGCTTACCACTGCATTTTGCCCCTGAAGGCTTGTGTTCAGTGCATTCAGATGTCGTGTTATGTCAACTAAAAATCCCAAATCAGCCAGCCAAACAGGATAAGATAGTTCTGGCATTGGTTGCCCCCTTTTTGCCAAGAATTGTTCAATTTCCTTCCTAAGAGAGTAGAAGCGCTGCAGTGCAGACCCCTGACTGAGCCATCTTACATCGTTGTGATACACAACATCTCCGTATTCAGCCTGGATGTCGAGCAGAAACTGTTGAAACTGGTGGTGGCACAGGGCTTTGTAGCGAATATAATTAATAGCCTTTATCACCGGTTTCATGATTGTATTTCAGATGTTTGGCACAGAGAACTTGTTGATGAATAATACAGTGGAGTTTGATAGCTTTGCCTCCTTCTTCGCTGACTTTGTTATAGACAAGGGTTGATAATCCACTTCGCTTGTCAGTCATGGCAGGTGTGCCATCCGTAATAATCCCAGTGACTTTATTCCACTGTAGTTTCATGTCATCTACAGCGGAACAAACAGAAACAAAGAGATCTGTTCCTTTTGTTTGGTCCTTCAGGCTCTGGAGGTTAAGAAGCTCTTCACTCACGTTCATGTCATTGTCCAGTCCTCTCAAAAAAAACAAAAAGTCAAACTCCACTCCTTTTGCCTCAAACTGTCGCTTAATATCTAATGAAACGTCTTCAATTCTCCGTACCATAGTGTTACGAGCCAGGCAAACATTGGCAAACTCTTGGTTTCTTCTCAGGACAAATTCTCTCAACCATTTTCATCACACAGTCCTTAATAAACTCACCCTCAGTGAAAGGTTTGCAGTGCTTGGCGATCAGCGTTGCTACCTCGCAGCTTGCCTTTGTGGTATTTTCATTTGACTCACGGCTCTTGTGAAAAAGCGCTGCTGTGCCGTTAAAACAGCTTCCAGTTGCTTAAATTTTTTGCCGCGTTCGTTCCCAGTTAGCTTGTCGTACTTAGCATGTTTTGTCTGGTAGTGGCTCTTGATGTTGAATTCCTTGAAAACAGCCACAGTCTCTTGGCAAATTAGGCAGACACAGTTGTTTCGTGTTTCAGTGAAAAAATATTCCAATTTCCACTTATCCTGGAAGCGGCGGCCCTCGCTGTCCACTTTCCTTTTTTTAGTTACAGTCGCCATGTCAGAAGTGGGCTGGGCTGAAAGGACCACACAAGACCAAGGGTCACAGCGGTGAGGGTGCAGCCACAGGTCAACTGCCATCTTCTGGTGAAATGTAAATTAGCCTTTTTTCTACGGCTGTATTGTATCCTGTGGTCAACAGTGCGTCCGGGCCACATAGTATTGATTTTATGACAGAGGCTGTGGGCCGGTGAAAATTTGAACATGGGCCGCAATTGGCCCCCAGGCCGGACTTTGGACATGCCTGCCCTAAGCATACTACCAGATTAATTACAAAGAGACTTCAGGACAACAAAGTCAATGTTTTGGAGTGGCCATCACAAAGCCCTGATCTCAATCCTGGAGAAAATTTGTGGGCAGAGTTGAAATGGCGTGTGGAGCAAGTCTAACCCTAACCCTTTAGTCTGATTTAATGTCAGACAGTGAGAAAACAAACAAACAAACAAACAAACAAACAAACAAACAAACAAAACAGGTTATATGTCTTTTTATAGTATATAAAAACTTTTGGTTTTCTTTCTGGTTTTCTACTGTAAATATTTATTGAAGGATGTCAGAGAAAACAGAAAAATGAACAGTATTTCAGTTGCAAACAAAAAATAAAGCATACATGCACACAGTAATTGGTTAAAACACTAATAGACAACAAGATGTAATGAAAGGGAAATGCAATTTTAAGTATAGTGTTAGAACCCTCTTTATTGACATAAAAGTAACTTTACATTTAACTTTACTGTACTACAACTATGTCAGAACTCAACTGTACAACCCACCAGGAAGCAGCAGTGGAAACAAAGATATAAAGTGAATACAGACAGGCCCAATCCATTATAAAATTTATAGTATTTTTACTGGAGCAGTCTCTACCCACTTTACTCATCAAAAGTATGGAGAGTAGGGGAAAACAAGAAGACACATTGAGGAAGGAACAATGAAGTAGTACTTCACTAAAATGCCTGAACGTACTGTAGCTGCTGCCTCCAGCAGAGATGGCACACTCTTGCTATTATTGGAGCTAAACCACTTCATCAGTTACAAGACAATGTTACAAATAACAGTTGTGCAGGGCAGAGGTTTGCAAAGCTCTTACCCTTGTGCATCACTGTTCAGTATTGATCCATACTAGGCCACACACAGGCAAAAAGGTATATTCTGCCAAGAAGGTTATGTTTTCATTACCGTCTGTCTGTCAGCAGGACTATGCAGAAACTACCAAGCTCATTTTTACAAAACTTGGTGGGCATGTGGAGCAAGGGCAAAGAGAGAGCCCATTAAATTTTGGTGCAGATCTGATGTGAGATTCAAGATCGGATGTCACAGAAGATTATACGATTAGCCTTGGTGGCAGTTTGTGCCCTCCGAGTGCTCTTCTAGTTTTTTAACTGTCATCAGCTTGAAGCATCTTCTCAATCTCTTGATCCCACTGGTCGTCTTTGTTGTCTGACTCAGTCACCACCTCGTACTCCTGAAGTTCTTGCTGCAGTTCCTTCTCCCAATCTGCTGACTCATCTACATGGAAAGATTTTGAGGAAAACAATTATTTACTATGATTTTCACAGATTAAATTTGTAAATTTACAAGACATTAATTTGGATATTAAAAACTAAGTCAGATCCATCTATCCATCATCTATACACCGCTTTATCCTCTGTAGGGTCATCAATGGGGCAGGAGCTTATCCCAGCAGACTCAGGGTGAAGGCAGGTTCACCTGGACAGGTAACCAGTTGTTATAAAAATTCAGTGTTTTATGTTATGAGTCAGTGCTCTTTGTCCAACTTTTGAAATACAGAAGGCCGTGAAAGATAGCGTGCACAGAACTTGCAAAAAGTAACCAAGCCTGTGGCTCAGCAAATGGGAGCAGAGGAGATATCTGTTGTATGCCTGTATAAATGCTACATTTCTTTACTCTGATGTCACTTGTTCTTTTTATGCCTGTATAAATGCTACAACTTTTCTTGACTTGGTAGTCACTTGTTCAGACTCTGTGCTGTACATGTTGCTCCTTGCTGCAAGTAAAACTTTGCTTTGACTTAAGAGACGACTCTTTGTATTGATTTGGAGCAGTTAGGGCTCCACTGAAGAATTTTCCTAAGAGTTTTTGGTCCTTCGAGCCGGATCCCAATATCCCTCCTTTGGACAGGTTTGGGGCCGAAACTGTACACGGGGGAGTCTGGGACTCCTGAAAGAAGGACCTCCATCTTGAATTAGACGTTCAGAGAGGCCAGCCACCACTGTCCGGAGGAGGGTGACGGGATTTCAAGAACAAGTTAAGAGTCGTCACAAGTCATAGGGAGGCCTAGTTTTCTTGGTCTCTTTCCAAGATACACTCAAGGAAGGTAGTTATTCAGTATAACCTAACGGTGGCAACAACCTGTTAGTTTGTGGATACCTAACGGTGGCAATGAAGCAAAGGTTTCACTGACAGGACCAGTTGCTTGGGTGAACTCCATACAAACTGGCTGGCTACTGGAGGGGAACTGGGTTCCTTATCGTGGTGGGGGAGTTTGTGTGCCCGAATGATCCTAGGAGCTATGTTGTCCGGGGCTTCATGCCCCTGGTAGGGTCACCCAAGGCAAACAGGTCCTAGGCGACGGGACAGACAAAGGGCAGTTCAAAAACCTCTATGACAAGAAAAAGAACAAGGAAGGAGACGTCGCCCGGTATGGCGCAGCCGGGGCCCTACCCTGGAGCCAGGCCTGGGGTTGGGGCTCGAACGCAAGCGCCTGGTGGTCGGGCCTCTGCCCACGGGGCCCGGCCGGGCACAGCCCGAAAGGCTGACGTGGGCCCGCCCTCCTGCGGACCCACCACCCGCAGAGGGAATCATAGGGGTCGGGTGCAAAGAGGACTGGGTGGCGGCCGGGGGGGGCTGCCTCGGCGACCTGGTCCGCGCACACAGCCTCTGGTTGTTGGGACGTGGAACGTCACCTCACTGGGGGGGATAGAGCCTGAGCTTGTGCGGGAGGTTGAGCGATATCGACTAGACATAGTCGGCCTCACCTCCACGCACAACCTGGGCTCTGGAACCCAACTCCTGGAGAGAGGCTGGGCGCTCCATTTCTGTGGCGTTGCCCGCGGGGAGAGGCGGTGGGCTGGAGTGGGCTTGCTCATTGCCCCCCAGCTCAGCCGCCACGTGTTGGAGTTTACCCCGGTGAACGAGAGGATCGCGTCCCTACGCCTCCGGGTTGGGGACAGGTCTCTCACTGTTGTTTCGGCCTANCAGTATATTGGCAATATATCAACTTCAATATTCTGTAATTTAATTCATTTTGACTATAAAATCAACTTTGTATTTTTACAGTTTATAGTATGTAATTCTACAAAACAGTCATTTACTGTAATTTTACGGTATCCGTCTGGAAACTTTGCTGCCAGTATTTTTACCATTTTTTTTACATATTTTTGAGTACAGTAAATTTACAGAGATATACCTGAAAGATATCCTTCTTTAATGCTTTTTTAACATAATATGACTGTTAATTTACAGTATATTGAACATTTGTCAACTTGAATATAATGTATTTTAATTAATTTTGACTGTAAAATCTGCTCCGTATTTTTACAGTTTATAGTATGTAATCTTGCAAAACAGTTATTTACTGTAATTTTACGGTATCCGTCTGGAAACTTTGCTGCCAGTACTTTTACTGTTTTTTTACAGATTTTTTTTTTTTTTACAGTGCATGAACAGTACTGTTTGAAGAAGTGTTGAGGATAGAGACAAATAAAACAATAAAACAACAATAAAAATGGGATCTTCTGAGAGTACAATCACAGGAGATGCCAAATGCATGCAACAAATTGATCCAAAATCAACAAAACACTTTTAAAAATGGCAAAAGAAATACGATTTTGAAGGTAAATTGGATGAAAAAAAATGTAAAAAATTAGTATGTAAAATAGAAAAAGAATGTGGAGGAAGAGAAGACAAAAAGAAAAAAGAAGGCTGGCAGGAAGCAAATAAATGGCAGCAACCTGCAGCTCTTTCATACCTCTGCTGCGGCTCCTTGTGGCTATGGAAACTAAATGAGTATTTAATTTAAATAAATTTTTTTCAGTTCGTTAGTTTTTAAAATGCAATTGTGAATTTGAAGATTATGGTGATCTTGCAACCTTAAAATAAAATGTGATTTTTTTGTCGCTCAAAACTTGCATCACACTTGCTGCTGAGCGACACCCACCAATGTTGCCAATTTGGTGACTTGCTCACTAAATCTAACAACTTTCCAAATCCTCTTGGCGACTTTTTTATTTTATTCTATTTTTTGTCAAAAGTGACTAGCGACAAATCTAGCAACTCTTTCTGGTGGTAATGGAATTTTTTCTGGTGTTTTAGAGACTCTGATATGAAAACACGTATAGTTCAGCGAGCAGCGGTGCTGCCATGAGCTCCTCCCGTCCCAAAGCGCCCACAGGCGTTTAGGAGTCTGGTCAGCAGTCCCAGCTGCAGGCAGCAGAACAACCAGCCAGCATTTTGACTTTGCTGCAGGTGGATAATTCAAGTCCGGCTTTCGATTTCATAAATACGAGGAGGACTCAAATAGACATTGAGTATTTTATTTGAAAGTAAACTTTAACCCAGCGTCTTTTTTTCGGAGTTCAAAATGTTTTTGTTGCACGCAGAAATAAAATTTTGTTTTCTCTGTAGTAGTTCATTAATTTCATAAATGCAAAACACTATAGTTATTTTCTTTTATATATACATAGCATTAACGTAAAAACGATATTTGCAGTGTTATCTTCATTTTAGATGTCAAAAGGGTTTTGTGGCTCCCGGTGTTTTCTTTTCTGTGGGAAACGGGTCCAAATGGCTCTTTGAGTATTGAAGATTGCTGACCCCTCTATAGCAGGGGTCGGCAATCTTCAATACTCAAATACCTCAATACTCAAATACTCCTGCTATAGAGGGAGGGGTAGAGGCAGAGGCAGAAGCAGAGGAGCTCATCGACGAGGGCCAAAAAAACCACAAGATGACGTATGCTATCAGTGCAACAGAGCAGGCCATTATGCCAGAGATTGCCACAAAGAAGAAAGCAGATCATGACCACATGCCAAATACAAAACCTGAGGTATGGAAGCAGGAAAATGACTCCTATGATGATTTAAAAAAAAACAAAAAAAAACTTAAAGTATTACTGAAATAGAAGTACATTATGTAACAGCATGTGAAATTCTAAAACTAGATGTAAAATCTGAAGTGCAACTAAATGTGAGAGGCAAACAAATGACATTCCTGTGTGATTCAAGTGCTGTCTCAACTGTGATCAAACAAACAGAATTTCCAAAAATGAAAGCCACAGGTGAAAACAGCAAATGGCACTTCGCATGTGGAACAATACACAGAACCATTAAGAATAATTGACCCACAGACAGGAAAATCCTGTGTCACAGCAATTCTGTTATCCTCACTTCCTGACAGTTTATGGGCTACAAGTAAGACAGATGTAGGGTTAATTAAAGAATGCATACCAGTGAAAATTAAACCTACAGGCTCTCATAGGCCATATCAACGTTAAAACGAGAAGCAAAAAAAGGTACTAAAAGCACAATAGAGGGCTTGCTTATAGCAGGTGTTTTAGTCCAATGTGATGATTCATCATGCAATACACCATTGTTTCCAGTTAAAAAGGCAGCTCCTTCCACTGGCAGGAGGATGGTTCAAGATTTGCAAGCAGTAAACAAAGCAGTTGAAGCCAGTGCACCGAATGTGTCCCATCCAAATATGTTGCTAAATGAACTAAAACCAGAAAATACCATTTTTTTTAGTGTTACTGACTTCAGTAATGCATTTTTCTCCATTCCACTAGACCAACACTCACAGTTTTGGTTTGCATTCATGTTTGAAGGTCAGCGTTACACCTGCGCCAAACTGCCACAGGGCTATACAGAATCTCCAACTATTTTTGCATTTTTGCTCAGACTATAGCTGCATGTGTAGGGAAATCTGAACCACAATGTGATTTTCAAGTGTTAACATATGTTGATGACATCGTAACTGCTTCTAAAGATTTTTTAAAGCTCCTAGCTCAGCAAGGTCATAAGGTTAGCAAAGACAAATTACAATTATGGCAACCTGAATTTTTTTTATTTAGGCCATAAAATCACTGGCCATGGCAGAGAAATTGTATAGGACGGAAAATATGCCATATGAAGCGTACCTAAAACACAAACTAAAGCCCAAGTGATGTCATTTCTTTAAATGACAGGCTATTGCAGAAATTGGATTTGTCTATTGTTGATCCACTACAGAAATTAACGTTTGGTCAACCACTGGCTATGAAAGATCAGGTCCAGTGGACACCTGAGGCCGAAGACGCCTTTACCACACTCAAGCAAACATTGACAACAACAGGTGTTCTTCAACTTCCAAATTATACAAAACCTTTTATCCAAATGGTAAACTGTAAAGCAGGCCATATGACTTCAGTGCTGATGCAATCCTATGGAGATAAAATGAAACCAGTAGCCTACTATTCCTCTAAATTAGACTGCGTGTCCAGAGCACTTTCA